TTAATAATTGTAAAAATTCATCAGGAAAAATCTCGAAGAATAAACATGGTATAACATTTCACAGGTTAATAAATTCTTAGCCTGAACTTATTAAGGTCCTAGTATATTTTCACAGATATAAGAATATTAATACAAAGACACCTTAAACTTTTGTTACTTTCTAATAGAAAATAGTAGTCTAATTATCCACAATAGAACTAGTAAATGTTCTTGATATCCAAATAAAGTAGATTAAGTATTTGTAGGTTCCCCCAAGATAAAACCAGAAAAGGCCAGTGGGAGATTGCAGTAAATCGTGAACAAGGATGGCGTGCCACACCCTCAAGTACAGTATGCTCTGAACATTTCAATGCCAATGATTTCTACTTAACAGACAGTGGTTTACGGAGGCTTTCATTGACTTCCATCCCTTCAATTAATATATCTGTAAGTATAATAATTTAAAATCATTAACATATATGTATAATAAAATCATTCTAGCACTTGGATATTGTATTGCATAAAAAGTATTCATAGAATATCTAATAGGAAAAGAAAATAAGAAGAATAGTAAAATTTATCAATTCACTTGTTTGTTTGTATGTAATGATAATGAGTAATCATAGAGCTTAGATGACCGTTTAAGTTATTTTCTTTCGTCACTGAAACATTATATCATGCTTGAGCAGCACAGGCTAATGATTCCTAGTATTTAGAATGGTATCAAAATACAAATACCAGTATTCGTAGACATGTGAAGAAAAAGCACAAAAAGTCACATATTTCACATTTGTCATGAATCTGTTATGGTTCAATGGTAAAATGGTCATTATCAAACAGTACTTTTGTATACCTCCAGTCAAATAAGCGTTGCTTGTTTTATATATTTCATATTTATATTTTCTTAAGTATGAGGTAAAAATTTAATTTTGAAATGAAACTGAATTGTCTACCAGTTCAAAGTCAGAAGTAGACTTAATGACCAAGGCATTCTCTCCCAGTAAACCTATGGGCGACGCAGAGACAAAAGAATCAGTTTAGAGGGAATCATTATCAAAGTTTTTTCAGCCTTGCCAAGATGAGGAGCCCACTATATGTGTTATGGATCCTGGTGACATAAAGCCCACGGACTCTGAAGAAGTAATTAAGCTAAAACATAAATTGCGAAGGCTGGAAGCCATTGCGGAGATGAGAAAACGAAGGTTGAGTCTTATGTGGCAGGGAAAAAGAAGGCTTAGGAAGAAACTGGCACAAATGAAGTGTTTGATAAAACATTTGATAAAAAATGAACAATATAAGAGTACACAGAGTAATTTGCCATAACAACATTCTCAATAAAATTATGTTTTTTTACATATTTTATTGTATATTTAAATCTTTTAGTCATATTTTTTATTAGTTCGTATGTGCAATTATTTTTTATATTTTAAGATTGTGTGTATATATCAGTTTTCAATAATGAATAAAGATATGAAGTTTTCCATGCATTTGTTTTCTTCAAGAATGCAAAAGAATTGTTTTATGAAATGTGTGCACAATATTTTCTGTAGTAAAAACATTTTTTATGAACTGCTTTCAAGTTATAAAAAATATGAATAGACCAAATTATTTTTAAATAATGATTATTTTTTAATTCAGTTGATGACTGCTGTAGAATTTGGACGCTCCTAGTCACGTTTCTACGCGCTTTTAAACTGTGACTGGAGTTTCTATTCGGAAACTATGTCTGCTCTGGAAATAGGCAGGGAAAAATTCTCTCGCAGTTATGTTCAAATAAACCACTTGTTTGGAATATATGCAGCTTGTATTTGCGACAAAAAAGCATGGAATTTTGCTGGAAGTAGGCTTTACCTAATATTTCACTAAAAAATAACTAAAATTTGCCATTGGCAAATTTTCGTCCGATGAGGAGAGTCACAAGCTATCGCTCAATGGCAGTTGGCAGTGTCCACATAAATCATTAGGCCGTCTGTGTAGTCGTGGATTTGTTTAAACATCCTTACTAATATTATAAAGGCGAAAGTTTGTATGTATGGATGGATGTTTGTTACTCTTTCACGCAAATACTACTGAATGGATTTTAATGAAACTTTACAAAAATATAGCTTATGCATCATAATAAGACATAGGCTATAATTTATATACATATTTTATGTATATCTGTATAATGTTACACCTTCAGCCTATTCTACGCAGACGTCGCGGGTAGCAGCTAGTATCTGCATACTAGCCGACCCGACAGACATTGTTCTCTACACACGACTTAAATCCGACAACGTATAAAAAAATTTTAGTGGACCGAATTGTGAATCTAAACCATTCTCGAATCGACCTGAAGACACTTAAAAAGTTTCAATAAAATCAGAGTTCAGTGACATACTCACGCACAGAACAATTATATATAGAAAGTTTACTCATGCCAGAGCCTTGATAGCTCAGTGTCTTGGCGTTCTCTTCTATTCGATATGTTTGAGAGTTCAAAATATGTTTCCTAGGGGAAAAAAATGCCAATTTTCAAGATGACTTACTTTGACTTAAAATCTTATGTCCCGTACTTGGGGCAGAGGGCGTCCATAGTAGATCGCCATCGCATCTCGCTCCATGTCAGTCCGATGCTCGCTGCTTCTGCCAATACGGTGCGTCGCCAGGTTTGCCAAACCGACCCAAAACCCGTTGCACCAAAGAAACTGTTTATCGCAATTTTAAATAGTGACTTATTACATGCTAAGCGGTGAAGTGAAACATCCTAGGGGGAAAAAAATGCCAATTTTCAAGATTACTTACTTTGACTTAAAATCTTATGTCCCGTACTTGGGGCAGAGGCTAGTTTTAAAACACGAGTCCAAGAATGGAGATTGAAAGAAATGTGTATGCAGAAAAAACGTACAAGCTTTTATGATGGAGTTAATGCGGGAGAATGACGCTAATCGAGGCCAATATAATCGAGGATAATCAACTCTATCGATGATTGGGCTCGCTTTCAGATCAGTATAAAACTCTCAATAAAGTTAGTTCGAATCTCGAACCTAGCACAGGTGACATTTTCCATTGCAATCTTTATTTTCTGACACCACTATATGTGTATAACTATAATCCGTCCATTCGTTTAGGAGGATTTCAGTGACACGTATAGAAGAATTATATACATATAAAGATTCAACTGGAAATAAACTTATGTCAATAATATAAACAATTTTTGTAGCAGAAAAAATTGCGTTCTATTTATTCAATTAGAATATTGTGTGATAAATATAGTGTTTTTCCAGTTTCTGGGTGTTTATATATATAGTAACCTATTGTACAAGCGTGGCTTAGTTTGGGATTTGGAAGTTTGGAAACTCGTGTAAAAATGTGTCCGAAATATTAAATATTGAATATCCGCGCATAGCCCCGTTGGAAAAAATGTGGAGTTTTATATAGAAACATTTACATTTAGAATAGAGAGATTTACATTTAGAATAGATTTAGAATAGAGCCTAGACTTTTTACACAAACTTTTTTTTACCACCAGGGTGACCCCACGCTCGTTTGTCACCTTTATCAAAAAAAAAAAAAAAGATACAAGTTTTGTCAATTAGCTTATGAAGAGCTAGCATTTTATTAAAATAAATAATTCTTAAACCAAAAACAAACCAAGTGGAATTGTTTTCAATTGTTTTATTAGCTCTCCCTTTACAGGGTTAATATTATTGTGTATTAAGATAATTTTTGGACATTTGCATTGCCTCCAGCACCTTACGTGAAATCTGTGAAGCAGAACATATCGTATATTACTTTCTCAGTCGGATTGTGTTCGAGAAAGCGACATTATATCGTTACTTTATAGCTGTAAAAGGTTTCCTACATGTTAAGAATGTGGCAAAATATACGTAAGTATTCCGATTTAATGTATTATACAATGCCGTTTGGAAGAAGTTTTTTTAAAGGGTTTATTTCGCTTTATCTTTCACCCATGTTCCACCTAAGCACTTCATCTAAGCGGGAAATGGGTCGAAATTGTTTGAATGTCCCAATACATCACACCGTGGGAGTACCTAGTAACGATTAACAGGCATCGTACAAGCACTTATAACTAATGTTTTTTTCAATGTAAAGAGTTGGCCAGCGAGAAGGCGGTTCACCTGATGTTAATGACTACCGCCGCCCATGGAAATCGATATGAAACGCAAAAGTATAATACTTCCAATTCACGCCGGTTTTTTGTGAGGCCGTGGTAGTTAACAGGACGAGCTTGCCTATTCGTGAAACAGCTGTTGCGTGCCTCTAATGCGTCAGACAGGCTAATGCTGTGTTAAGTTTTCTCAAACTTAGTAACTTTATTAAGGTGGTAAGTGATGAGTCTCTCACAATGCCAATCTCTATTGTGAGGATAAAACATGAAACCACTGCTAGAATACAGTCGCGCTGCAGGCGTATGAAACATAAGGGCCATACAGAAAATAACCGTAAAGTTGCGTTAATGCTTTAAGCATTTCGTCTTATGCGTGAGATCTCTGGGATCCACCCAACTCCGGGACAAACTAAAGTACTTAATATAAGCGTTGGTAATCGCTTAGTGTCAGGTGTTTGTTTGCCATATTTTTTCAAAAAACAAAATCGATATCGCGAAACTGTAGCCGCTGTTGGGCTGATAGCTTATCTGGTACCGACGCGGGGACTGCGTCAAGTTTTTCGCCGCCATTGAAGCCTGCGCCCGCGCAAAGTGGGGGTATGCCCCACTACACGCGACAGTATCTTCGCCGCCGTGGTGAATGTAAGACGTGTCGCGTGTCCCGAGCCACTTTCGAATCCATCGTCAGCTCCTAACAGTCGAACTAAAGTGTGCGAGTTTGTGTAGATTTGTGAACGCAACTCCGTTGAACCGTGTGCCGCTTTCGTGTGTATTGCCGTTGCGATAAGCGAAAATGTGACTGTGTCCGAGGTAATTAACAGCGTCGCACGGCGATAGGAAAATGGCTTTGGTAGAAAGCTATTAAACACTGATGTTAGATAAAATGCGGGAGTTCTTAAGGATCGTGTTGGTGTGTTCTTGTGCTGTTCTGTTGGCGGTTCACGAAGGTGGTTGCGAGGAGGTCTCGTCAGAGGCGGCGTCCGACGCGATCGGAGCGCCTGATGCCGCGGATCTAAGAAGGGATGGTAAAAGCAGCCTTATACCAGGTAAGTTACTGTACGCGTAATGATTGCGGGAAATAAGCATCTTCAAGTTATTGTCAAAAGCGTGCTTACTGTAAAAAAATCTAACCTATATAAGAATTACCCTTAAAATTTGCAGAAAAAGTACGAAAAGATTGTCGCCGCCGTGGGAATTGAACCCACGTGCGTCGTCGGAATTCGCGGCATGACGCTTTAGCCACTAAGCTTAACGGCTGATTGCCACACTAACGATTTTTTTTTATTTAAGAGCGTAATAGCTGTATTGGTACACTGTGTTTGGTCAAAACAGCATACAGGCGAAGAAAAGTTTGAACATTTTAATTGGTCGGTCGCAAAGTCGTTTTTCTACGTAATTATTACCGATAGTTCATTAGCTTTATAAAATGTTAATAATACGTCTCTTGAATTTGTACTATCATTATTATACGTCTCACGATTGATGTGGGTAGTTAGTGCGGGTATTCTTTAACCTACTTTTCTTCAACTCCTGTTCAGATCGTAAACTACCTGTCGTTGGTCATAAAAATGTGTGTGTGTTACTCACATTGGCTTAAACGTACATACGATATAAATTTTAGTGTCGCTGTGGCTCGAAGGTTGAATCTTCGTTTGGAATTTAACAGTATATTTAATAGTAGTCAGTTCGAATTCGATTAGTGTGAATGTAATTAATTATGAATACTATACGAGTTTTACGCGTACATATAAAATATAGTGATCCTCTTATATTTAAAACTTGGAAACTCTCGAGCAGTACAAATATTGAGACAAGTGCCTACCTCGTCAGACCCAGAAATCACTTTGATACTATAACCTTTATACTTTTATATTAGGTTCCTATAAGAATGACTAATTATTGGGATAGTTTAAGGTAACCAAATCTGAAATACTTTTTTTTTATTAATTATGTTTAACCAGTCTATCGAGTGGTTTATTAACTTGTTTAAACAATAAATTACGAAATTGTTAACTTTAAAAAAGTATCAGTTATTAAAATAGATTTTGGAAGAGGAGTAAATCTCAACAGTATTTTGTGTATCTGTCAAGCTTTTGGGAGACTGGCCTGAAATTTAAAACATTAATGTTAACATTGGACTGTATAGAAAAAATGATTTGATAAGCCACCTGTAAGGAACTGCGAGCGATATTGGCGGGATTAGTTGACGTAACCGGATAAGAAAATCATAATGCATTTTCCGGTATTTATATGGAAGCATTCGATTCGACGTTATATACTAGGAGGATTGTACCTTTAATTCGCCAATAGTACGATCGTTTTGATTAACATTTGAACTTTATATTGCAGTGGTGTATTCAATATTCTTTATGTAGTAGCTATCTATTTATATGTAACACTAGCTGTGCCCGCGACTTTGCTCGCGTGGAATTTGAAATAAGAAAAATCTAAAATAAAATAAAGTCTAAGTTACTCCTTATTACATCAGCTATCTGCCAGTGAAAGTCCCGTCCCAATCGGTCCAGCCGTTTCAGAGATTAGCCGGAACAAACAGACAGACAGACAAACAAAAATTGTAAAAAATGTTATTTTGGTATGTGTACCGTGTATAAATCCATATACGATTAGTAAAAAGCGGTTATTTTAAGATTACAAACGGACACTCCAATTTTATTTATTTGTATAGATATATGTATATAAATAGATAATAAGGATATCGTAGCTATCAATTTCCAAAGCTATTTATATAATGGTCAAAAAATTAGGTGGTACCTTTTTATTAAGTAACAAAAGGCTATTTTAGGTTAGTTAGGTAGTTTATTTAGGGTTAAAGGTTATTTTCTTATTACTTCATATTAATCTGCTCACAAGCTATGTATATCGATGATTGTGGTAGAAAAAGGCAGCATCTTCTTATGTTGCGCTGTTGATTCGACAGGGAATTGTCAGACCGTGGTTACGGAAGACCAGCGTCTCGTGGAAGTTATCCTTGAACCGGGCCCAAACTTTTGATGCTAGGAACTTATCGCGTGCGCAGCGTGAAGGTAAACACCGTGAGGAAATCTGCATATTTTCGAAATAATAATAATAAAAAAAAAATGGTTTCGTAGAGATGTGAAGTGCACCGATCCGATACCCTGTGAACAGAGGAGGCCTCTGCCCAGAAGTGGGACATTTATAGGGTGTTACTTTACTTTTCTTATTCATTTAATGGCGTTAGGTATTTTCCTTTTAATTCCGGTCTTGCTTCTTGGTATGAACCTGTCTCTTGCGCCAGAAGTTTCGGGTTCAATCCCGATGAAGATTGATGATTTGAAAAAGGTGTGGTGAACATAGTTATTTTTAGTTATTTTCTTGCGTCTGGGTGTTTATATAATTATGAATAGCATGTAGGTATTTATTAAAAAAAGAATAGTATATGAAAGTATGTTTATCGGTTACCTTGTACCAATAGTACAAGTTTATCTTAATTTGGTACAACAAAACAACGTGTGAAAACATGTCCTAAAAATATTGTATTATTTATTGAATATAACACAAGTCAAAAGCATTATAAATTGTGTTGCTAACCGAATGTGGAACACCTTGATAATGTTCTTATGTTAACATTTAAATTGTATC